TGTATATGTATATGTATATGTATATGTATATGTATATGTATATGTATATGTATGTGTAACCAAGTGGGTTCGCTAGTAGTGGGAACAGGGACTATCTCTGACATGAACTCAGTGGCTGGTTCTTTGATCACCTCCCCCTGAGTGGGGGAGCAGCCTTGCCAAGCCACAGAGAAGGACAATGCAGCCAGTCCTGTGAGACCTGATAAACTAGGGTCAGATGGAAGGGGAGGAGGATCTCCCCTATCAGTGAACTTGGAGAGGGGCATGAGAGGAGATGAGGGAGGGAGGGAAGGTGGAATGGGAGGGAATGAGGGAGGGGGCTACAGCTGGGATACAAAGTGAATAAACCATAATTAATATAAAAAATAAAAATTAAAAAATATCACTGCATTTGTACAAGTAGATACATAGATCAATGGAAAAATTAAAAATTCAAACATGAGGCTGCATAACTACACTTTTCCAGTGTTTGACAGAGATATGAAAATATATGCTGAAAAACAGCATCTTCAAAAACAGATGCTGGTGAAACTGGATGTCCACAGGAGATTAGACCTGTGCCTGTCTCTTTATACAAAACCTAATTCCAGACAGATCAAAGATTTCAATGTGAAACCCAAAACACTGAAATTGCTAGGAGAAACCACAGACAGTAAATGATAAGATCCCTATGCCTGGAGAATTAAACCAACAATTGACAAATGAAAGACAGTTATCATGTGTCATTGGACGATGAACTAGATATTATTGTTAATATTTCAAATATAAAGGTGACCTAGCTGAAATTAAGGGTGGAATGGTGGTTGTGATGCTATGAAGAGAGTAGAGTGGAGGGGATGCTGGGCAAGCGTCCTCAGTGGGTACTCAGGTATTTAGTGAGAGTGAGTGCTGCCGCGCAGGAGAGGGTCGTGGTTAGGTACGGAACAGCTCTAGAAAAACCAGTTTGAATGTTTTGCCATAGAGAATTATCAATGCTAAAATAAATATGGGGTTAAATTACTCACACCATATTTTCCTAGTAATTGGCTCAAATAATACACTTATATCTGTTAAAATAACAACTAAAACAATTGTATTTAATAATAAAAAAATGACAAATCATGTGAAAAAGGAAATGAGATCCAAATTCTTTAGAGAAAAAGTAGTTATAAGACTTAGATTCGTTTTCATACAATTCTGAATTTCACAATTTCAAAGCTTAAGATTAGCTGTGCTAATATTAATTTGATTTATATTAATTTATTATCCTTGATATTAAATTATACTTATACTTCAGATTATCAAATGGTAAGATTTACTAGGATGCTTCTAATAAAATTCAGACATGAAGTAATTGATATATTACTAGAAAAAATAGTTAAATTGTACCTAAGAATTGTATTTAGGCTAATAAAAAATAATAGCTTTTCATTTTCTCCCCAGATGATAATATTATATTTTACCTTAAAACTTTTTCAACTTAAAATACATGGAGCATATTCTACCTTTTACTTATCTCAAAAAATAAGCTGTTGGTACTGATCAGTGAGAGAAATAAAAAAAAAGGCCCTTAAAATTATACTTTGGGAGAATTTCTAACAGTAGAGTCAAATCTAATAGAAGATTAAAATTACTCAAATTACTTAAATTTTCAGTCATGAAATGAGCTTCACTTAATAGAATTATGCATATTTAAGGCAGAATAAAATGGTTTCCTTGTTGTTTAGCTTCTTTGGGAGTATAGATTTTAGTATGTTTTTCCCATATGTCTAATAACCACTTAAGAGTGAGTATATATCATGTGTGTTTTTCTGTTTCTGGGTTACCTCACTCAAGATGTTCTTTTCTAGTTTCAACCATTTGCCGGCAAATTTCATGATTTCCTTGTTTTTAATAGCTGAGTATTATTCCATTGTTTAAATGTACAAACTTTGGGCAGAATGCGTGGACTTTTATGAAAGAAGGGGGAGATAGAAAGACCTAGAGGGAACAGGAGCTCCAAAAGGTGACGAACAGAGTAAAAAAAAAAAAAAAAAAAAAAACTGAGCCCTGGAAGGCCCTGAAGAGAATGATACCGCAACTAAAGACCACGCATGGAGAGGACCTAAAACCTGACACGATATAGCCCATAGACTCAAAGTCTCCAAGGGTGCAGCCTAGTAAGGGAAGCAGAGGCGGTCTCTGGTGTGAACTCAGTGGCTGGGTCTTTGATCACCTCTGCCTGGGGGGGGGGGGGGGGTGCAGCCTTGCCAGGCTGCAGAGGAAGACAATGCAGCCAATCCTGATGAGATCTGATAGTATAGGGTCAGAAAGAAGGGCAGGAGGAGCTTCACAAGCAGTGGACTAGGGGAGGGGCATGGGAGGAGAAGAGGAAGAAAGGGTGGGATTGGGAGGCGGTGAGGGAGGGGGCTAGAGCTGGGATACAAAATAAATAAATAGTAATTTATAAAAACAAAAAAATACAAGTGAATAAATATATCCTTTAAAATATGAAGCTATGGTGAACTGTTTTAGTAAATGTTTCTGGAATCTTTAGACATAGAATTACTATGTTTTGAAATATAATTCTTATATTTTGAAATGTAAGTACAAGCATTTGTAGGTAAGGGTGGTAAAGAGGACAAAGACAACTGATAAGAAAAGGGGAGTAAAGAAGATAGGCACAGTGGTCAGTAGAGAAGTGGATCTCTGAAGATCAACGCTCAAAAATGTGCACATCCAGTATTTGCCACATTAGTTACAGAAAAAAGTGGTCCCAAGGGAAGCGCAATTCTGGACATAGATTAAACAAAGTATGAAGGTCACACAATAAAGATTTTTACAAAATGAAGGTACTAGAGAAGGCTAATCCAAAGGTTGTAGATTCAAATATTTATTCAGTAGAAGCTGGAGAACCCATACCCTCCACAGCATGAAGGGCGGCAGCAGCCATATCCGTAGCCAGAGCCATATCCGTAGCCAGAGCCATATCCGTAGCCTCCATAACCACAGCCATAGCCCAGTCTGCGGAAGCTGTTACAGCCACAGGCATAGCCGCAGCCCAGGCCTCCGAAGCCACCATAGCCACAGCCCAGGCCTCCGTAGTAGCCGCTGTAGTAGCTCATGGTGTGGGGAATTTCCTTTGTAGTGGCAGGACAATTCTGTCAGTGCAGCTCCACAAGCACATTTATATATACTTGGAGAAGCCACGCCTCTAAATGTCATTCATTAAAGCACATTGAAAACTATGCCAACAATCTTGTTTCTTGGGACTCAACCGCATCCACTCCTTGCTTGTCTGCAAGGTGATTAAAAGGTTATGCAACTTGTTTAATGGCCCTGCTTTATTTGGATGCCTAGATAAACACTGTGCCTCTAATAAAAAAAAAAAAAAAATACTGTGCTGTTTATAGTCCCCAAGCATGCTTGAGTTTCTCAGTTTCACCCTACAACAAAATCCTTAACTCCAAATACTGAAATGGTATCACCTGATAAGGCATTTATCCTCTAACTTCATCCTTCTTTTGACATTCCATAGTTGAAGATTTCTTTCTTACGCAATTATTTTTTGCCAAGAATTCACTTGTACTGAATCATAACTGCTGAAATGCTACTTAGTTTATATGATGACTATCAACCATGAAGTCTGTTTTGATACCATTCACTCTAAAGTCAACTGGGAATCACATTGTGTAATGTAATGATCATATCTACTTTAAAAAAAAAAATAACCACAGATGGAAGTCAAGAACTTCTGATTTTTCATGTTTCCTATATAGACAGTCAGCTTGGTAGACATCATTAAACACAGTGTAGAGAAAAACCTGCTAATTCTGTATACATAGGTACCTGCTCCAAACTCATCTTCATTTAGGCTTAAATTTTAGGCATTCATGGGACTGTACAGCATATAATGTACTATGATCATATCATATCATATAAACGCATTTAATTTAATTACTCTCTCTCAACCATCCTCTATCTTTCCTTTTCCTCTGCCTCATCCACAATCTCCAGCTTGGCAATGCCCCATTCACTTCGAGGTTCCTTTTTCTAGCTTGCCCATGTGAGAAAAAAAAAAAAAAAAACCTGTAAGACTTTCTTTGTGATGATAACTACCTTAAAATGATTTTTTCAGTTCTTTTAATCAACACAAAATATTTAAGAAACTATATATTCAACATAAAATTAAGCATAGTTTTAACTGTTCTTAACCTTGGTTGTATACCTTTATTGGTAGTTTTAATTAAACAAAGCAATGCTCTCCTAACTGAACCTGGCCTATTTTTAACCACCCTCATTATAAGTATTGATGAACGTATTAGGTGTTATTTATAAATATTCATGCGAGCTATTCATCTGAGGAGAACAGCTGGAATGTCTTCGCAGTATAGAATCAATTTATTCATTTATTAGTTCATCAGATATTTACTGAATGCTTTTAAATTTCATAAATCAACAGATTCAAAAAAACTAATCAATGAATTTGATGAAAGCTACATTCTGGTATGTGAGTTATGTATAACTAAGAAGTATGAATGCAAAGTGAATTAAAAACAAGATGACTGGCTTCTTTGTCTTCCTCTATGGATTGGTAAGGCTGCTCTCCCCTCAGGTGGAGGTGATCAAAGAGCCAGCCCATGAGTTCATGTCAGAGACAGTCCCTGTTCCTGTTTGATGAGACCTGGTAGACTAAGGTCAGATGGAAGGGAAGGAGGACCTCCCTATCACTGGGGAAGGGGAATAGAAGAAGAGGGAGGAAGGATGGGATTTGGAGGTGGTGGGGGAGGGGGCTACAGCTGTAATACAAAGTAAATAAACTGTAATTAATAAATATAAAATTAAAATTGGGATAAAAGAAGTTCTAGACCAGCTTGGAATACATCAAACCCAATATAGAATAAAATAAAAGTAAAGTAAAATAAGCATTTGTAAATAAAACATTGTTGTGACATTCCTGGTTGGAAAAAAAAATAAAGTAAGACTTAAATAAATTGTTCTGTAATTGGAAAAAAAAAAAAACCAAACCAAGATGAATTAGAGCTTTATTTGGAGGTCTGTGTAGTAGCCTCACCTGTAGTAGGGTTACTGAAATAACAGGCATATTGACCTGTTGGTTGACATGGTTGTTCTATCATTAGACATCTATAGAACACTGTGTGTTTCCAACTGTCTTCCCTCAGAAAAACATTCCTTTTCCATTCCTGTTGCTTAATATTTTCAAATGATTTTTCCATCTTAATTAAATGCATGTGTCATTCCTTCAATGTTTTCTCTGAAATTTTTCTCTTTTGTCTAATTTCTCTTTTTAAATATTTTTGTCCTTTATCCTTTATTGAACTTCCCCTCAAAATGTCAAAGTAGCCTATATATGCCCATGGTGACCAACAGGGGAAACACATGTATGTTTCCAACTTTGCTTCATATCTAGCCAATTTGAAGGTTTTCATTCTAGAAACGCCCTGTGAATATGTAACATTATCCAGATGCTGAGCTGTATTATGAAATTTTACTAGTAAATAAAATCCCTCCTACCTCTATTCGAAGAGAGAGCACATGAGTTATTTTTCTATTGCTGTACCAAAACACCATGACCAAAACTGAGTTGTGGAAGAAAGTATTTATTTAGGCTCATGGTAAGATAAATAAAAGTCCATCATTTTGAGGAGGCAAAAGAGAAGGCAAGCATAGCAGCAGAAGCAGGAATCTGGGAGACCACATATTTAGCAAGCATTAAACGGAGACAACAAACTTAAAATGGGAAGAGGATAGAGACTTTTTTTCATTGCTGCTTTATTCTTTATTTTTAATTTATAATATTTTATTTTTTTAATTACAGTTTATTCCCTTTGTATCCCACCTGTAGCTCCCTCCTTCTTCCCCTCCCAAACCCACTCAGTCTTCTCCCCTGCCTGTTCCCCAGTCCACTGATAGGGGAGATCTTCCTCCCCTTCCTTCTGATCCTAGTCTATCAGGTCTCATCAGGAGTGGCTGCATTGTCTTCCTCTGTGTCCTATTAAGGCTGCATCCCCCTGAGGTGAAGGTGATCAAAGAGCAGGCCAACCAGTTTATGTCAGAGACAGTCCGTTCCCATTACTCGGGACCCACTTGGACACTGAGCTGCCTTGGGTTACATCTGTGCAGAGATTCTAGGTTATCTCCATGAATGGTCCATGGTTGGAATATCAGCCTCAGAAAACATCCCTGTGTCCAGATTTTTTTTGGTTCTGTTGCTCTCCCTGTGGAATTTCTGTCCCCTCCAGGTCTTTCTATCTCCCCCTTCTTTCACAAGATTCCCTGCACTCTACCCAAAGTTAACTGCAAAAAAATAAAGTAATCCCATTAAAAAATGGGATAGAGACTCTTAAAGCCAGCTCCCAGTGATTTACTTCCTCCAGCAACCTCCACCTCCTTGCTTTGTACAGCCTCTGCAAATGGCTCTAACAACTGGGGACCAAATGTTCAAATACCCAGGCCTGTGGGGCATATTCCTCAGTCCAACCCCCACTGTAACCTATGGTGAACTTTTCAGATACCCTCTCTCAGATGAAGCACTTTCCTTCCGTGCTGCTCACCACTATATTATGCAACCATACCAATAACACAGTCAGTGCTGCTGGGATTCGTTTGTTTTATCACTGACTAAAACATTATTTCATACCTGTATCTCACAATTAAAACAAAAATCAGAATGAAGACTATAGTGAGATAGATCAATTAATTATACAAGATCTCTGCGATTTATCTAAAAAGATTAAAAGTCATAAAACTACAATGACTGAACATAGCACAGGTGTATTGCTCTCACTCCTGACCTGTCTATTAACTACCCTTTCTCTTCTAGCTACTTCTTGGTGTCCTATACCACAGTGATGTACTAAGTGTTGTCCATTTTTAATTTTTCATCATTTAAACATTATTACATATTATTTCATTTGTTTGTGTGCAAGTGCATGTTCACATGTCCAAGTCAAAACTATGAAGTAATTTGTCAGTCTTCTTTTCATTTGACTTAAATTCAAGTTAATTCTGATCTATAAACTCGGTAAATAATAGATGACATTTATCTGCTTGACGTGGAGATAAAGTAGTGAAAAGAAAAATAAATGCCCCAAGATTCTAGAGCTAATGTTTTAGGGTAGGAGACACATCATAAACAAATGCAGACTTAATTTATCCTCTCAATCAAAAGATCACCGACTTGCTAATAAGATCTAAGAGTTTTATGAACAGTGGGGAAACTAACTCAAGGTTAAATAAATAAAAGAAAAAGTATCCCAGACTTCCTAAGATCATATTCCAATGAGAAAATGTGGGAGATGTTATCTACAAAATATTTTAAATAGTAATAATTGGTAAGACAATAAAGAAGTTATAGATGAAAAATATGCAACAGTACATAGAAGTTATTAAAGCCGATGATAAACTCAGGTGGAATGATCTTTTAAAAGTGTTTCTTTAGTGTCCACTTACCTCCACTGGAAATACCACCTGGGTAGGGGAGGTGACCTCTTCAAGCTCCATATCCCTGCTGGTTGAAGTTTCAGCTAGAGTCACCCCCATGGACTCCCAGAAGCCTCCCCCTCACGAGATGACCCCACACTGATTTCTGTTCTTTCTCCCAGTCCTCTCTTCTATCTCCCCTACTCCCACTCTTCCCACACCAAATCCCCACCTCTGTTGCCCTCTCTACCCCTCTCTCACCTAGTTCCCTCCCTCTATCTACTTCAGATCTCTATTTTATTTCCTCTTCTAAGTGAGATTCAAGCAACCTCCTTTGGGCCCTCCTTGTCACTTGGCATCTTTGGGTCTGAGGATTGTAGCCTGGTTATCTGTACTTTATAGCTAATATCTACTTACAAGTGAGTGCACACCATGCGTGTCTTTCTATGGTAGGGGAGGTGTGCTCCCCCTTTCTGAGAAATAGGAGAGGAGAATAAAGGGGAAGAGAGAGGGAGGGTGGTACTGGGAGGAGACAAGGGAGTGGGCTAAAATTGGGATGTAAAGTGAATAAATTATATAAAAATTTATTAGAACCAGAAAACTGATTAAGTTAAAATTGTAATCAGTTTCTAATAACTTCAAACATAAAAAAAGAGAAAGGGAATAAATTTGGGGGCTGCCT